ATCAGCTATGAGAAATGAATCTTGATATGATCTGCAAAACTTTTTTTTTGTTGGACATTGTAGTTAAACGTCTGAAATCAAATGGACTCAGATAAAAATACGCTAAGACTATTCTATAACAATCTTCTAAGTTTTGACTTTCAATGACTATTCCAAAAAATTGCGTGCAAGTATGTTAAATTTTCTTTATTATTTGTTGTATGACAATTGTTCTCTTTTGCTTGTTTCTTCGAATCATCTTTATGTTTTTTCGTAATCATTTTGTTTTTAATTTATTAACTCAATTACCATTCCATGCAATACATTAACGTTCTTTCGCTATTTGTTGTACCCCAATATATGATAGTGTATGATTTTTACCAGGATTGTTTCTTTTTCTTCTTTTTTATTTTTATTATTTTCTTTTAGTTGTCTTGCTATGTATGTTTATATTTTTAATTTACAATTTCTTTTATGCATGTTAAATTTTCTTTGAAAAATGAAACAGTAAATATAGTAATTTTTTTAATTTGTAAATTCCCTGTTCACTTCACTAATTTGAGTTTAGAATTTGAGTTTTGCTATAGTAAAAAGCTCTCACAAACAATCACATCTAACTTTTTTGCTACAGTAAAAAACTCTCACATAAAATTACATCTTAATTCGAATTACAAACTCGAATCAGCGAAGTGAACGGTCCTTAAAAGATATTTATCAAGATTATTGTAAATCTTTTGGGCCACAAATACTACAGGAAAGGAGGACACAAGCTAGCACTTGACGGTCCAAAATATTGGAACCTAGCTGTAGTACTTATGGGATACAGAGAAATATGTTTGATTTAGTTGTGAAACCACTAACCAGGTTGATAATATATTATCAGCTTAGAGATATTAGTTAAGAAAGAACATTAATTTGCTCTGGGTGTGACGGTAATCAGGCAGTTGACTTGGAAACTATGTCTGCGTTGTGTTACTTTAGGCATTACTAACGCTTCGTTCACTTCGTAGATTCGAGTTTTTAATTCGAACTGTGATGTGACATTTTCTTATAGTTTTTTACTGTAGCAGAAAAAATTAGATGTTACATTTTATGAGAGCTTTTTACTGTAGAAACTTAGAACTGAAAACTCGAATGGTGAAATAAACGAGGCCTAAATTAATTACGACAGCATCTTGTTCAAAAAAAAAAAAAAAGTGACAGAATCAATTTTTTGTCTTTTTTTCTCTTGCGTTTGACAAGAGAATATTAATCATTAAAAAATAGTTGATAATAATATTTAAAGGAAAAAAAACAGAATGAGAGAAAGGGAGAGACGAGTATCTTTGGATTACAATAATACAAAACAGGCTAAGCAAAGCTATAGTATAAAATTTGATATAAATTATAACTACGTACCATTCTCGTTGTTGTATATGTATTGCTCAGTTGTTTTTTTTAATTATTATAAAAGGATATATTCTATAGTTCTACTTCAAGAGGATTATTTTGATAAATGCTCTCTAAATTATATACCTTAATTCAATGTGCCTATTAAATTTTAAAAAAGAGAAATCTTCACAAATATCCTTTAAAAATGCATGGTTCTTGATTTTTATCCCTTATTCTTAATTAGTATTCTTTTTAGTCAAATAACTATATTAACAAAAGAATACTAATCAAGAGAAAGGAAGACTCGTACACTTGGAAGGATAAGTTTAACAATTTTCTCTTTAAAAAAAGATTCATTTCACTTCTAGATTATAAAAATAGTCCATACACCTTTGATTAACTAATAAATACTCTATGAACTACTGATTTTGTGTCTATTTCATATGTCATAATGACACCAACAAGCTAACTAAAAATAAAAAGCTACGCACATGCATAATCAGTTATGAGAAATGAATCTTGATATGATCTGCAAAACTTTTTTTTTTGTTGAACATTGTAGTTAAACGTCTGAAATCAAATGGACTCAGATAAAAATACGCTAAGACTATTCTATAACAATCTTCTAAGTTTTGACTTTCAATGACTATTCCAAAAAATTGCGTGCAAGTATGTTAAATTTTCTTTATTATTTGTTGTATGACAATTGTTCTCTTTTGCTTGTTTCTTCGAATCATCTTTATGTTTTTTCGTAATCATTTTGTTTTTAATTTATTAACTCAATTACCATTCCATGCAATACATTAACGTTCTTTCGCTATTTGTTGTACCCCAATATATGATAGTGTATGATTTTTACCAGGATTGTTTCTTTTTCTTCTTTTTTATTTTTATTATTTTCTTTTAGTTGTCTTGCTATGTATGTTTATATTTTTAATTTACAATTTCTTTTATGCATGTTAAATTTTCTTTGAAAAATGAAACAGTAAATATAGTAATTTTTTTAATTTGTAAATTTCTTTTGTGTATGACAAAAGGCTTCATGTCTAAAGTTCAACTAAAAAAAAAAACCATAGAAAGAAATAGACAAATGAGAATATTAAAAAATAATAAAGGAAATGGTCGCTGTAAAACCTCTGAGAAGATTTTTCCGAGATTTGTATGCGACTTTATTATTATTATTATTTTTTTTTAATACTGATGTATCTTTTAGGATATTGAGCTGGTCCTCTTCACCAAATTAAGCTTGTTTGTGCCTACAGCCTATACGATAATAAATAAGTTCAAACCTTCAATAGTCACTTGATTCACATAATACTGTGGTCTTAGCATAGCATCTCAGTTTCTAGTACTCCAAACACAACGTTAATTTGCCAAATACAAACAACATCGTATTGATTTGCCTGGCAATCCACAAAAAAATGCTTGTGTTGTTTAACTGCCAAATATGAACCAAACCTAAACGATGACTGAGCGGCTATCCACAACATTCTGCCCCTGCCATGCATCATCAATATCCTTCCTACATCATCTGCATCGTGACATTCGTCGTCCTTCCCCGCATCATCCGCATCGTGAATATCGCCGTCCTTCCCTGTATCATCTGCCCTGTGACTACCACCAACCTTCTCTGCATCATTTGCATTCTGACGACAATCACCATTATTCCCTGCATCATCTGCATTGTGACTACTTTCTTCATCCCTCCCCACAACGTGACTACTGTCGTCATGAGAACACTATAGGCTCAATGTATCCCAAGCTTCTTGTTAGGGACCGGCCATGGTCAACCTTGGCTTTGTATAACTCATTGTCTGAGGCTCTTATATGGTCAAATAAAAGTGTGTTCAACAGTGCAAATGAACCTCGGCTTTGACTATTTCTTTCACCTTGAGTCTATTTTTCCTTTCCCTGAAACAAAATGTGTACAACACAAAGTGTGGATAAATCTGTAAGAATTACAAAGGCATAAACAAATTCGCTAATTTCTCAGTTCATGAGAAGAACGATAATTCTTTGGAAAGCATTTTTTTCCCCCCTCTTAGCCCAAAACTCAAACTATGACGTCAAAATTTAATACATGAGTATGGCAAAAAAAAAAAAAAAAAAAAAAAAAAAAATCTACCCAAAAAAAAAAGAAGAAAAGGATATTTGTAGTTTCTAGAGTGAAAAAAAGAAAAAAAAGAGCTATAAATCCACCTACCAGTTTTTGGACCCGGTTCAAGCAAGCAACTGCATCTCGCACCGCGCCACCGCGGTTTCATATGAAGAACAACACCACAATCAGACCACCTATCTTCATCAGAAAAGGACGAAGGTGGAAAATACAATTTTAAACCACAGACATAATCCAAAGAAAACCAGGATTAATCACAAGAACCCAAAAAATAACAAGCACAATCAACAACCAAACAAAAAAAAGACGAATAGCAAAATATCTCGGTGAAATCGCAATGGGGAAGAAAAAGATAGTACCTTCAGACTGCATCACGCCATGAGAATTAGGCGGCAACTCTATACCTAGATCAGGAAGAATTATTTTCCAATCATTAACAAGAATTAGGGCTTCATCTGACAAAAACGACAAACATATTTGGAAAATTCGAATTGAAATGTGATGAAAAACCCTAAAGGAAGTAAGTATCCGATACACACAGAACATGCATTCAAAAAATTATAAGAAATAAGAAATTAAACGTCAAAATTGGTAAAGTGATATAAGATAAACTAAAAGAGGAAGCAACACTTCTGTGGGAAATCAGTACCTGGAGATCCTTGCGAACTGGAGGCCATTGACAGATTTAGGAGTTTGGGAGATCTGTTCAGAAAAGTGTTTATTGTTTTTTTTTTTAATAATTGTCTTGTACCCTCTATTTTACAATAGTATCAAAACGCTATCGTTCTATTTGAATAACATTAAATTGATGTAATTTCCAAATGTATATTTTCTAACTATATTCGGAGCATGCTTGAGTTCAACGCATACAAACTATATACCAGCTTTATTTTTGTCAAAAAAGAAAAAGAAACAAGTATATCACGATCTCTCAAAGGAAACATATAAATATATATAATTATTTGCATCATTTGAGATAAATGATATGATTTAATGTTGATCATGGTTATTTAATTATGATGATGATGATGATTTTGCTGCCGTTGAATATGCCAAAAGATTAGTTTTATTCTGGATTTTGGTAACGTGTTAGTTTTAACGGTATTTTTTTTTTTCACGTGGACGTTTTATTGATGATAACGTGATATTTGAGGATTTTTGTTGTTGATGATGAATATGTAAGGATGATATGATGATGACTATATAATGCACATGGTAATATGATTTTTTGTTGAGAATATGATATATATTGAGATGTTGATGTGAAAATGTCAACAACAAAAAAAAAGATTTGTTGATATGAAAATAATTAAAGACTAATGATATACTTTCCAGAGAGAGAGAGAGAGAGAGAGAGAGAGAGAGAGAGAGAGAGAGAGAGAGAGAGAGAGAGAGAGAGAGGCTAAGGATGTCGTGCTCGGCAGAAATTGAATCGTAACTGCTCCAGTTTAAGAGAATTAGTAGTAAATAATTGTAATCCAAGTATCCAACATTGGGACCAAAGAAAAAGATAAAATTTAAGAAAAATGTCGTCAATGAATATTAAACATATCAATTCGCTATGTAGTATGATGATTACAAATTAATGACAGAAAAAAAAAATGATACTGCTCAGAATCCGCAGAGCACTAATCGTGGATTTTCTTGTTCTTGGTGAAGGTAGGAAGATGAGCTGAAGCAACGACCATTTGACGTGGACGTTGTCAATAATGCTTTCTCAAGAATATCATTAGCTACATTTCTCCGGATCAATGAAAGTAAATACTCCATAAAGACCGCGTCGAAAGGCAAAGTGAGAGGTCCATTGCTTGGCAATCCGAACTCTTCTTCTGCCAATTTAAGAATCTCTCTAAAGATGCCACTCTTAAGATACGCCAAAGGAAGAGCAAATCGTCTCGAATCTGTGGTATATACAACAAAGCAACCCTTCTCAGCCGTTGATGTTGATGTGCCGCCGCCGCCGCCGCCGCTTGCATCGGCTTCTTGGTTCGATGGCCTTGGCAATGTAATTCTCTTCCCACTTATAGCGACAAGTCGTTGCCACGTCCTCGCCATTTTGACGAGCTTTTTGGTTCCGATCAATATCGTCATGTTTGCTTGTATTTCAAAGAAGAAGATGCTAAAAAATAAGCTAGTTTTGAGGGAGCTCAAAGAAAGATATGTTATCGATCGATTTTCTTGTGTGATGATGATGGATATGTGTGAGACTAATTAATAGGCAAGCCGCTATATACTGGCGAAGCAAGAGACAACTTGTTTCATTATTGTGTTATGAATGGAAAACATTGCATGTGATGAGTTATATTTTTTGTGGTTGACAATTTTGGTTATGTTTGAAATCAAAAACCTTCAAAATGTGGCGGTGTGTGTAGGCCACATTCGTTATTGCAGCTTCTAATTATCAAGTGGGCTATTCAGGGAAACACTGGGTCCATAACAGGCACATTGCAAATATATGATATTACACACACTTATTACTTAGAGCCATTTCCTAGTGTCAAGTTTTTAATATGTTTGATCGTGTTGAATTTTTTCGTCAGCTAGCTAGATAGTCTCTTATAATTAGTTGCGCGCGGTCTCAATATTGATTAAGCAGGAAGTCATGCATGGGGAGCAAACCATGTGATCTTTTTTGGGTGATGGCAGTTTGTGAGGTCGGGCATATATATATATATACACACACACATTTATGTGTGTATACATATATATTGACTATATATATGTACAGTACAAGCAATATATTAAATGAAGTTTGGAAGCGGAATCGGGGTTTCATATATCTATTTTAATTTAAAGGCCAAGTGGCACGGGTTAAAAAACAATATGGGTCCGCGGTGTACATTAATTGATCCCAACTCAAAAAAGCCTTTGTTAAGTTCATGAAAAAAATTAGTAAAAAGACTAGAAAAGGAGTGGAAAAAGCCAAAGTAGTACTTATGCATGCAGGTCCGATCTTATGCATAGATATGTGGTATAAAGACGAAGGTTGTTCGATTAGCAGACAACATCATCCACTGCAATGTATCTTGCTATTGTCCTTTGAGTACTGCCTAAACGACAAAATAGAAGCAGAGAAAACTTGTGGCTCAAATATATTTATGTGTGTTGTGTAAGTGTATCTTTCTCATCATTGATCTCTTTTTGGGTCCTCTGGCCTTTAGCGCATCGGAATTTTACACAATTACAGCTAATTAGATCATCTAACATATTAAATTTCAAGGTGAATATTTGAAAGGAAAATTAAAACAGAAAGAAAAGTGATGATGGTGTTACATATAATTGTTCTAGATTATGGGACGTAAATTTCAAAGTGAGTATAATTTGAAAGGAAAACTAAAATAGAAAGAAAATATTTATTAGGGAGTCTTAAATAGTTCTAGACTTCTAAATTAATATGAATATTGATTAGAACTCTATCATGAAAATATAATGAATGGTTAATTTAATTTTTTTATAAATCCTTCGAATGCAACAATTTTTGGGGGGAAAAAAAACAACAACAACAACTTGCCGATTGCCATACAAAGCAAACACGTTAAAAAAAAAAAAAAAAAAAAAAAAAAAAGATATTAAGAATGTTTGTTAGAAATAACATTCTGGGAATGTGCGAACGTAGTTTCATGTTGGTTAGACATGAAATTCAGAACGGGTTAAAAGGAATTTAGACTACGATCTTAGTTAATAACCTTTTGGATGGAACCTCAAGGACTCAACAAGTGGTATTAGTGCTAGATCCCAGACGTATCCATGTGAGCGCACAAAATGAACACCGGGAGAAGACTGGACGAAGGTTGATGGGTCCCGGAGTTGAATCGCGATGACCAAAAATCCGTGGTGGAAACGAACTCTCAAGATAGAAAGCATAAACCATAAACCATAAATATTATTGGAATTATGTTTAATTACTAGAAGAGGGTTTATAGGTGTTAGGATACACATTTTTTTATGTTTGGTATTTGGATGATGGTTAAACACATATTTTGTTTGAATTCACTTTTAGACCCACCTTACTTTTTAAAAAAAAAATACATATATATATTTAGGGAGTTTAAAATATTATTGTGATCAGGGATAAATTTTTTGAGACCTTTTTCTTTTCTTTCTTAACGATAGTTTTTGCTTATTCAAAAAAAAAAAAAAAAAAAAAAAAAAAAAAAAAAAAAGAAAAAAACAACAGAGTCAACATTACTACCTCAAATCCAAGGGATGAAGCTGTAACACCCGAAAATAGGGTTTTTAAAAAATAAAATAATTCAAGTTTCAGGTACTACTTCCCAGCTAACTAATTAAGACCTCGTTCAGTTCTCCGATTCGAGTTTTTAATTTGAGCTGAAATGTAATTTATTGTAAAAACTTTTTACTGTAGTAAACTGAAATTGAAAACTCAAATTAGAAAACTAAACGAGGCGCAAGACAACAACGACAGTTAATTAAAAAAAGAGTTATTGTAATTATTCAAATTTCAGGTGCTAGTTCCCTAACTAACCAAGACAAAACGCTAGTTAATTATGAAAAAAAAGAGTTATTGTTTGATTGAGCCTAGTGCGCAATGTACTAATTTCCGGCAACTATATTACGCTATCTAGCTTCAGAATTGACATGTGGCAAATAATGTGAGCTAGAGTCATGAATCTTTTTTTTTTTTAAATTGCAGAAGAGAGTCACGATTAGAACAAAAGCCACAAAAATTTTGCTGATCCGATCCTTAAAAAAAAAGGCAGTCACATATGGAGAAAAAATGCCCGACAATGAAATTATGGACGTATCTTAGATTAATTTATATTTAGCTGAGCAACATTCAGCTTCAGCTATTTAAGCAAACTAGCTTAATCAAATGGCATTGAAGTTCAATGTAAACAAAGATATACATACCAGTATATATAAAGTAGATCCTATTTTAATTTCAATCCTAAATGAATTAAAATCAATGATCGATTGGATTTGATCTTTTCTAGCAGCCACAAACAAGTAATTGTTGGCCTGCATTAAGTACTCCTTGCTGGAAATTAGAAGAAGAAACGAAAGAGCAGCCACAAGTATTATCCATGGAACGAAGCAAAGCCTTTTTCAAATCTTTTGGCACGCCTCGTCGGACGAGCGTGACCACGTACTCCATGAGCATCGCGTCGCACGGCAACATGATAGGGCCGTCCCTAGACAGTCCGAACTCTTCCTCGGACATCTTGAAGAGCTCTCGCAGGATGTTGTGTTTAAGATACGCTAAGGGCATCACAAAACGCCTCTCGTCTGTGGTGTAGACCACGAAATGGCCTTTATCAACCACTGATGATGATGTCGTAGTACAACTTTCAATAATAGCATACACATTATCATAATTAGTAGTATTGGTAATAAGTCTGGGAAAGGAGATTCTTGATCTTCTGCTTAGGGCTGCCATTTTCCGCCACGTTCTTGCCATCTTGATGAGCTTCTTGGGGCTGATAGTCATGTTTTAACTTATATAGCTAGATTTTTATGACAAGACGAGAAAAAAAAAAAGAAGAGAGAGAGAGAGATTTTTCTGGGATGGGTTATGGCTTATGGTACGTAGTGATGGGCAACTGATCTTGTTATATATTCAAGAATATGGGGACAGTTCATCTTAGATTCCTATGCGGGGTTTTCTTGTGTTGGGAGTTCCTATGCGAGAGCATGTGATTGGTTGTGTTTTCATATATAGGACGTCATTTAATTTGAATTTTCTGCATATTTATTGATGTATGGTAGCCGACCGATCAAAACGAAACATAAATTATGGATTACACTTATCTCATATATACTTCTTTTATGTCCTGTAAGAAGAAAGGACAAACCAGTCCTAAATTTATGCTAATTATAACGGGACGGATATCACAAAACCAATTCATTTGTAGCCACAAACGCATATAAACATATAATATTTTTATAGTAGAGGGCTGTTTAGCTAACTCTCTATTATCTACAGATCACTTTGCATCACTAATATATTAAATAGATGCTAAGAAGCTATATAGTATATATATCATGCATGGCAATTGGGCTGAAACATGGGCAATTTAATAAGAATAAATTGCTCAAGTTATCCTAAAAATGTATGAGTTTAAATTTTTATATTTTATTCTTGACTAGAAAAAATATTAATAAAAAAATAATGAGTAATCAAGACCCATACCTTTTTTATAAGTATTTGTCAAGATTTCTCTATTATTAATTGTTGCTTTTACAAACAACTCACAACCATAAATGTTGTCGTCGTACACACTCAAGCATGCATGACTTTTTCAGTAGTGTATTGTAATTAACCATGCCCGGTACTAACAGTGTTGAGCACCGTATCCAAATAGAAGTGGATCCCACACAATAAGGTCACAATAAGGTTCACAGATGAGATCCACGTTTTATTAGTTGTAGTGTTTAAAACCGATGGTCCTAACTCCAAATTATTTTTTCATTGTAATCAAATGACACGACCACCATGAAAATTAAACCGTGGATGGTCAACAGCGGCATGTTGTGGAGATGAAGAAATTAATAGAGTCGATAATTAGCATATATAGCTCTATCCAAGTCTTTAGCCTTTCCCCGTTGGATGAGTGAGAGTATTGAATCCATGAAGACTGAATCACAAGGCAATGTGATGGGACCTCCGCTCTGTAGGCCAAACTCTTGTTCAGACATCTTAAGCAGCTCTTGAAAGATGTTCTGTTGGAGGTGCTCCAATGGCAGCACAAAACGCCTCTGGTCATTGCTGTAAATCACAAAATAGCCTCTATCACCGACGAAGCTTCTGCAACAAACTAGCTTATGCCACTTCCTTACCATGATTTTCTTAATCATGTTTTCCTAGCTAGTATCTATCAATTGGAAAGAAATTTGCTATATCAATCGTTGAGCAAGAAGAGAGTAGAAATTATCTATATATTAGAATGATGAAATTAATATTTGCTTAAGTGAGGCGATTATATAATGATGAATTATGTTCGAATAATTAGTTTTATATTATAGTTAGTGTCTTCTCTGTGTGGTGGTCAATATTTCCCATGCAAAGCCATTAGATAATTAGGTGCATTAATTGCTAAAGATGTTTACATGTTCATATGGTAGGCATGATTAGTTACGTTTGGCAACCATAGTACTAAGCAGAAGAAAAAAAATTTCGATACTAGGTTATATTCTTCTGTTACATGGTTTCATAATTAAATACGTATACGGTCTAATCAAACATGAATGAGCTAATATATCATATTATACAGTATAACGTTAGTACAGTTTAAAAAAAAATTGAAAAATATAAGGGTGGTAAAGTTACTCCATTTTGGTGATGGTACTTTTCCTAGGATTTTGGAGGTTTCTGCGTTATTTATAGAATCTCCAACTCTTGTGAGGATATAATTATCTTCTTGGTAGTGTATGGATAATTGAACTAAGTGAGTCATTTTGTCTTCCGACAATTGGGTGGAAAAATAGATAGTGACACTTTCGTTCATCGAACCTGATAGCCCAGCTATTCTTGTCTTGTCAAGTTAGGAAGTTGTCCTGTGCATGTTATGGCCAAAAGAACCAAGGAAAATGTAATGACCCGAGTTACGTCTTAACTGCATAATCTTGCACTTAATTAAAAATATTTGTTTTTGCGGAAATTATATATATATATATATATATATATATATATATATATATATACACACACACAGTAATAGTTTCTTAAAACAAAATAATACTTTCGTAAAACATATCAATGATAATTTCATAAAACATTTCGTAATTATCTTTCCAAAATTAACCGTTAAAATTTCCTTATATGGAATATCATATAATTGTTGCACGAGTTGCGGTAATAATTTTAAAACTTAAAACTTTCTAGTCTAAGGTTGTATAATTACAACCTCGGTTTTCAATAACATACTTACATACATATTTAAAACTTGTAAATCATGAATACATAATTTAATTTAAACCTGCTGCGAAAAATTTATTCGTAAGTAATATCCATTCTCATCTCCATCACTCGTTCGCCGCTCGCCATTGCCTGTCAAGAGTTGCTAATAAATTTCTTACCTATAACATGAACATATCTGAATGAGCTTTCGCACAGCAAGTAGGAACTATATCTCACAAAACTATTGAGAATACATAAAATAAAATATGCATGTTCCAGTTATGCTTAATTATGATCATGTCTTATTAAACTCTTATTATCTTACTAAACTGATGGGGTCGAGTGTTCATATCAGTCACACACAATTATCGGGAAGTTAGGGTTTCTAAGGTCCCAACAACACCGTGATCCTAAACTAAATTGAATGCCTCCCTTGCGGAGGACTTTAAATCTGTATTGAACTGAATATCTCCTTGTAGAGAACTTGATTACCTCCCTCGTGGAGGCTGGTATGACACTCAATTTCATTTTTATAAGTTTCACTGGACTTATTAGTGAGTACGCAATATGGCATGACATCGCACACTATAACACAATGTAATGTCTTATGAATTTATCTGGTTATACATAATGGGCCTAAGTGTTCGTACCAGTTGTGCACAATCATCAGGAAGTTAGGGTTCGCGAAGGTCTCCAACAACACCGTGATCATACTAATCAGAATGTTTCCCTCGCGGAGGATTCTGAATTTGTACTGAAACTGAATATCTCCCTCGCAGAGTTCTACTTACCTCCCTCGTAGACGCTGGTACGACACCCTTAACTGAACTTATTCATTTCACTTATCTTATTGTATGTATGCAGTATGATATATTACTACATAGCATCACATTCATGAACATACTTATACTGAATGTAAGATGAATACGGAAAAAATAATTTACTATCGCATAACATATAACATATTGAGTCATAAACATAAAATAATTTACTTTTTTAGAACGTATTTATCCTTTCATTAAGGATCATAAAAATTTGTAATTTTTATTATAAGGATTAATTAAATCCTCATAATTCTATCTTTCTTAATTGTCTTTACAAATTCGTGCTAAGTTGATAATAAATTAATTAATTATCTTATCCATATAGTAAGTCTAATAATTTAATTAATTAATTTTAGCAATTAATTAACCCTCTTGTTCATATACTAAGTCTACATAATTTAATTAATTAATTTTGATAATTAATTAACTTCCTTAACCATATTCTAAATCTAAGATAATTTAATTAATTAATTTAATAATTAATTAAATTATTATCCATAAGTTAAACTTTTAATAAATTTTACTTTACCTTACTTGATAGGCTCATCATAGTATTGAGGCCTGTATTTAACGTCATAAAATTAAGGGTCAAGTGTACCGGCTTTTATGATTTTTGCTTACACACTTATTTGAAAACCGTTAAGTTTTATTAGAAAATTATAGACGATGGTTAACATAATTTGCGAACCTCATAATTAACGTATTTCGGGAAAATCATACGCTTTAAATGACTATCTTAATTAAACTGTATGCGAGATTTGTACTTACCATGATTTCGAGCTAAGCGGTCCGAGTAGTACTTCGTCGAAACAAGTCGAGATATTGTCTCGTATCATCGAAAGGAGGTTAGGAGACTGCCAAATAGAGGTTTGCCAGGAAACGGCCTCCGGCAGCGGCGGCTGTGATCGGAGCTGATTCCTGCGCCGAACTTGGGTCCTACCCCTACTAAATTAACCCTTCTGAGTTTAATGGTGTGGTTAATTTCACCAAATTCGTCCTCTAACTGTACAGATTAAAACCGTCAACTTTGACATAATCCGGTGGCTCGGATCTTGATTTTCTAACAATGGGACCTTGAAATTGGTTTAGGGCTTGCATTGCCCGTGATCTTCTAAGCATTATGACACCAAGAAAATGATGATCCGATGGTTGGATCATCGAAACCAACCTACACCACAAAGATGGTGGCGACGAACTTGAATCTCTGGAAAACAACTGCGGAAACATGCAAGTAAAGGTTAGATTTACTCCATGTACTCCTCTGAATCTAATGGCACCGGTGGTGTCAAAAACGTATGCTGGCAAGGTGGAGATCAGTGAGTGGTGGCGGTGGCGGAGTTTAGTAGCTCTGGCGGCAACGCTCCATCGAGAGTTGGGAAGTTCCGCTTTTCGGGTCTTCTTCATCTCATTATTCTGAGTTCATAGAGACCGGAATAACCTCGATCGGATGTCAAATGGTGAAGATCTCACGATCAGAAGTTTTTATTGTTTTCAGAACTTCGGCCCGTGAGTGCCGCTTCGTTCGGAGGAGTTGGCGGCTGCATGACACCATTCCGAGCTTAGCTCAACGAGAACTTTCCATTAGTGTGGGAGGTGTCCAAAACTAACACAGAAATAGTAATCGGAGGTCCTGGCCAGTTGTAGAGAGAGGGAAGATAGAGAGAGTGACGTGAAATGTGAGGAAGGAGAGAGAAATGGGTAGGATTTCATATTTTTACCACCTATCACGTTAAATCGGTGTCAAATCTCGTCCTTGATCTTATCTTTAAAGATTTTCTCTAAACAGATATAATTTGCACTGACTGAGGTGATTAACTTAGCCGATAAAAAACTTTAATTTTCCGGCGGGCCTTTTTCTATTGCTCACTTGCAGTCCATTATCAGTCTCTAATTAATTCGATATTGATTTAAATTCTTAATCGTGTATTAAAATTGGACTGTATTAATTCTTAAAATTATTTCTGAATTAAATAAACTCTAAACTTGATTCTTTTTTGTATTTTGCATCATTAATGACATAATCACTAACAATGTCAATTCCCGAGTTTGGGTAGCATTTTTTCTATCGAAAAAGCTACTCACGTAACTTTGATTTAACTAATTGGCAATTAAGGAGTTCTTGAGTATTAGAGTGTTTCTCAGCACACTTTTAACACTGTACTTGTAACGTCCCTCCCGAGCAAGCAGCTAAAAACAACGCCCGCTCGAAAGAATCGTTAACTGGATTAAATATTACTGCTTAATAGAAAAATAATATCTATCATAAATACAATCTTCGAACAGAATTCTTAATATTAAAAATTTCATTTCTTAAGATCTCCTAACTTGTCATGGGACCTTGAACTATTCTTACTCAGTCAACTGGAACTTCTAGTTTAGCACTTACATGCATCACGAGAACTATTTGAGCACAAGCTCAGTAAGTAAACCATAAATAATTTCCACTTTCAAATACTTCTCTTTAACATTTAGGGCCCTCTTGTATAATATTAATCTTGTATTATTAGAACCTCTTTCATATAGCCCATGTCATGGAATCTCTTATTCCTCCAGGATTTGGCCCTTCATCATATTTCAATTAGTTCATAATAGACACAAGATTCACATCATACTCAAAAATACTTTCCAAATCTCATGAAAACATGTCGACAATAACATATATAAATTGAAAACTTTCATTAAAAATATACTACTGTTTAAGTGATGCAGTGAAAAGTCTACTTACAAATAACTGATAGAGAGTAGAAATCTTCACTTTCTTTTTATTTTTATTTTCTCTTCATCCTATTTCAAATAGGACATCTAAATGGTATAAATTTTCCTCATCCTAAAATCTCCAAATATCATAAAATAAACCAATTAAGCTAGCAAGTCAAAATTTATAGATATTATAGTACTACACTTAAAAATTCTTATAATTAAAATTCTCAAGTTATTTTCATATTAAAATTCACCTTAAATCACGGTGAGAATTATGAACTGAACTATTTAATCACGAAAAGTAAATTTGCTTAAAACTTGCAATAGAATTTTGAAATATTAATATTAATTTCATAAATCCTTTAGTCACAAAAATCAAACATAATATTTCTAGGAAAATTCTTAACTTAAATATGTAAATTTTATTATTAAAATTTAAGATTTTCTTGGTCATTATAGAAAATACATGACATAATATTTTCATGGTGGAACCCAAACAACTACAGCTTTCTTAGAAGCTACTATGGCAGAAAACTTGGCATTAATTAAGTAAATAGTGATTCTATTCCTACTCCTTTTTTACTCTACACACCCTCTTTTTAACTACACGCCCCACATAATTTTTAAACACTTAAATTTTTTTTTGCACACTCTTATTATTCTAAAATTACCCCTAACTATTTTAATAAAATTATTAAGAATGGTTTTATTTGTACCCCTCTTTTCTCTTCACACTCATATTTTTACTCTCTACACCCACTTCTATCTTTTGTTTATATCTCTTTATATTTTTTATTTCCTGTCTAAAATGAGCAACTTTTAAAAACCAAAGTCCAAAAAAGAAAAATCATATTTTAATTTTTGTCACCTGAGAAGTGGTAATTCATTTGTGTAGTCTATTCGGTAATCTGAATAAATATTATTGCATTGAATAGAAACTTTATCCTGTTAAAACGTTCAAATACAAACCAAACAAAAAAACAAAAAACAAATGAAACAATTCAAAAAAACTAAAAATAATAAATAAAAGAGTAAATTAAAAAAAAATTAAAAAACAAAAGGTGAATTGCATTTTGGTCAGCCCTCGGATTGCATAGACAAAGCGCAGCAAGATAGATATACAACCATGTGTATAAGTGTTTGAGCAAAAAACCCACGACCACAAGCAGCATCTTTAGGGAAAAGAGAGAAAAGAGAGAGAAGAGAGAGAGAGAATAGACTGAAGGGAAATCATAATCTCACATTACAAAAAATGAAAAAATAAAATAAAATGATTAGCTTAAAAAATTGATTAGTAAACAAATATAAACACAAAATGAAATACAATAGCAAAGAAAATTTAACATACCCCCATATAATTTTTTAGAATAGTGATTGAAAGGTAAAAATTAGAGTTTTGCTATAGATTTTTAAAATAGAAATAATTTATAATTTGTCAATATGATATTGGGGGATGTGTGGAAAGAAAAAAGATCCTCTATCATTTGTTTTCCTTTCGTAATAAAATTTAATTATATAATTAAATCTATTACTTTTTTGGTCATTTTATTTAAGGATGTTTTTATAATTAGAAATTTTTAACCTAAGGGGGTGTAGAAAGTAAAAAATGGGTGCATAGAGAACCACCCTTAACTAAATTGTAAACCAAAAAGTATTGGCAAACATTTGCCCTCCTTAAAAAAAAATAAAACAAATAAAAATATAAAAATATATTCTTTCCTCTGGAAAAGTTCAAGTTCCAAATTGACCCTAAAAGAGAAAATTAAATTTTAAAAAAAAATCCCTCCCTAAAATACTCGAGAAATAAAAATATTGTTACAAAAAATGCTTGAATTCATGATCTTGTGAATCAAATCGCCTTACAATAATGTACAAGTGTAGACTATAGTTTATGAACTGTGAACTATCTCTAGTAAGTCACATACAAAATCAAACATGACTTATCAAACAATGCTTCCTTCTAGTACCCAGAAACTAGAGTTTGTTGGCTTAATGTTAGCCCTTGATGAAAAGAAGAGGCTGATGACGAACAGCGGCCGGTTTCCATGGATCTAATCAACGCTTTCTCGAAATCTTTTGCTACGCCTCGTTTGATTAGTGTGACCACATATTCCATGAAAACAGCGTCGCAAGGCAGTCTTATAGGGCCATCGCTTGATACTCCAAACTCCTCTTCAGACATCTTGAAGAGCTCTCGCAAGATGTTGTGCTTCAAATACGCCAAAGGCATCACAAAACGCTTCTCATCTGTGGTGTAAACAACAAAATGACCTTTCTTCACCACAAATGAAGAAGTACAGTTTTCATCATCCACAATATCCTTATTGTTTCTAGGCAGAGAGATTCTTCTCCTGCTTCGAGCGGCGATTTTTTGCCACTTTCTCGCCATCTTGATGAGCTTCTTGGCGCTGATCATGTTGTCTAGCTAACTCTGTATACACCAAAGCGGTTTTGATTTGATTCTTAGAAAGATGAGATGCTATTTTGAGGCTTACTACTAGTTGTATATATATTTACATGATTTGAGACATACCACTTTTTCTTGCTTCTAATATGTTGGAAAATTTCAAGGAAAGAGCACGTGATTGGTTATATTGGAATACATATATTCACAAGGTCATGTCAAGCAACGAACAGATCAAGAAGGAACAACAATTCTGGATACCATCTGATTTTTCTTTTCTGTCTTGCGAAAAAAGGACACAACGGACACAATTTCATTGTTCAATTGCAACTAGCCAACTACAAGTATGATTCAGGGCACACAAAAAAAAAAAAAAAAAAAAACATATATATATGTTCACACCAACTACAAGTAAGATATCACATTGATGACAAGTCCAATTCTGAACCATTAGGGAACATATAATAAATTAGAAGCTAGTAGCATTGGCTAGTCCAATTCTTGATTATGATCAAGATGAATGTGATTTGTTTCCTCATAAAAAATAAAAAATAAAAGTGGTTGCAAGTTGGGCCATTGTCATTTTGTTTGGCTAAATAAACACCTTCAGTATGTGGATATTATTATCATGATTTTTTTCGTCTTGTGATTTATGGACAGAGCTGGTCCTACCAATTTTCATAATAACCAAAATAACACACTCCATGAACCCCTTGATATGTATTTTTCGAAAACCATAACCACTTGATATGAGAATGAACAGAGAAACTTAGGTCGATATGCAAACAGAACAGAGACATCCCACGAGGCCTAATTTTTTAACCTAAACACTAATGTTAATAGTTGAACTTGGACCAAGAAGACATTGCTCTAGTTTCATTGATATAGAACAATGCCTATTTAAACCTCAACACTTTTTTTTTTTTTTTTCCCAATTCTTATAAGGATTAAGAACATCGAATATCACCTTAAGGTTTCATCTTGTGTCAAAGTGGTCCTCAAATTTTAAAATATTAAAAAATATATATATAATTTTAGGATTTTCAACGGTAAATTTAAGTTCCAAACAGACCCTTATTAAAAGAATAAAACAATAAGCCTTATCAAACGGTTGTAGTGTTTTATTCGGTATTTTTAGTCATGAACATGATGTCAATTTTTATGAACAGGCACTTCCCAACAAGGTTTGATTTCTAATTTTAATGAACATAGTTAAAGAAGAATTTTGTCAACCAAAAGAAATGCCAGAATCCATTTAGGTATCAATTAATCATGATCTTACAATGTACAAGTATATCGACTGTCCCATAAAGGGTCACATACAAAATCAAAGCATGGCTGTTCCTAGTACCCAGAAAGTGGGATTTGTTGGCCTACTAGTCCCCAGTGAAAAGAAAAGGCCGATAATGAACATCTGCCCGTTCTTTCGATGGAATTAATCAACGCCTTCTCCAAATCTTTTGCCACACCTCGGCTGATGAGTGTGACCACATACTCCATGAAGACAGCGTCACAAGGAAATCTTATAGGGCCGTTGGTCGATACTCCAAACTCTTCTTCAGACATCTTGAAGAGCTCTAGCAAAATGTTGTGCTTCAAGTACACCAAAGGCATCACAAAGCGCCTCTCATCTGCGGTGTAAACAACAAAATGACCTTTGTTCACCACAGAAGTAGTATTACATGACGTTTCGAAATCTACTTCCTTATTGCTTTTGGACAAACAGATTCTTCTCCTGCTTGGAGAAGCCATTCTTTGCCACTTCCTTGCCATCTTGATGAGGTTCTTTGCACTGATCATGTTGTCTCACTATTTGATTCTAATTAGAAACCTGATTAGATTGTATTTTTCTAATGGGTGATTGTCAATGAAAGCTCATGGGTTATATATATACAGTTATATATATAAAAAGGATTTGGGACATGTCACTTTTTGTTGCTTCCATTATGTTGGAAATTTCCGAGAGAAGAGCATGTGACTGGTTGTATTGGAAATAGATGTTTGCATGGTCAAAAGTAGTGACTGATTTTTTGCAACCAACTGATCAAGTGGGAACAATAACTCGTGTATACCATCTTGATTGTTCTTGCTTGTCTTGTGGAGACAAAGCACGGCCCAATTAATTTGCATACCTAACAAGCCAGACATCACAATTGGCAAAGGCCAATTTGAACCACATATGGAAGAGATCATATAATAATGACATTACGAATGTAGTATGTACTAGACGCTGCACTATTTTTAGTTCCAAGCACCCAAAAAAAAAAAAAATAGAGCAATATTTTTGGTAGATAAATTACATGTGATTTGTTTCATGACAAAAAATGTACCTTGAAAGATGGAGGCCATTATCATTTGTTTGGCTGCACGCCTGGAATTGGTATATGGATATCGTTAGATGGCTTTTTTGCATGGGTGCCCTCTCAACTTATCACTATTGGTAAATCAGTTCTTGAATTAAAAATTATGGCAATTAACCCCTCGAATTTTGAAATCCTTGCATAGCAAGCCTAAATGAAAACGGTTTTAGATTTTTGACAGATTTTCTTCACATGAGCAGCATGTGACTTTTAGAGAAGGGTATGCTAGGTCTTTTTGAACAAATTAAGAATTAACAAAAAAATAAATAAAATAAAACATATAAAGTAGCAAGAACCCTAGTCCCACCCTTCACCTTCTCCCTTGGCCCTACCGCACTCACCGTCGGCCCCCCACCCTACCTGATGCCGACGTTGCAACGAATCTCCAGTGTCACAGCGCAGATAAAGCCATTACAATAAATAACCATATCTAACAAAATCAAGATAGAATAATTTTTGGTGGATGCAGGAAAAGTAAAGCTTGATGTCGAAATTGGAACCGGCGACAACAAGATTAGCAGAGAATGGACCGAAATTTAGAGTTAAGACTGGTTACCAATTAGGCTGCATACCCTTTGTTGTCTTCCTCTTCTTCGAATTTGATATTTCAACTCTTTGTTAGGCTTTTAATTTTGGAAAAAGCAACTGCTTTTGGGCAACAAAGAAGAGAAAATGGCGTTTCATCTTTTGTCAGGTTTTTATTTTTATTTTTATTTTTAGAGATGTACCCATGTTCACATAGCTTCCATATGAAATTCATTCGAGGATTCTCTGCTCCTCTTATGAAAACTGATGGGTTTGACAATTTTTAAATAAAATATATGATCGATGAAAATATATGTGCCTTTACTCATTTTAAACAATGCAGTTCAATTTAGGACTCTGCCTTTGTTTTGTTGGTAGTGATGTTCCTTTCCACATAAAAAAAAAAATAATGTTGTTGCTGGTTTGTAGTTAAAATAAACAAATAGAGAGGTGTTCCAGACCTGCTTGTATTTCTTATTCCTTGAAAAGTTACAGGTTAAAAGATTCAGGCGTGGTTTTTATTCTCTTTCTCAGTTTTAAAAATTTTTCTCGTTTTCTTTTCTTAAAATAAATTAAATGAGTAAAATTTCAAGCATAAAGACTTAGTATATCCTTTTTCAAAAGTCACGTGATTCTTATGTGAAGAAAACCATCCCAAATTTAACACTGTTTTCAATTGGACTTGGTATGTAAGGATTTTAAAGTTTGAAGGGTCAATTGCCATAATTTTTAGTTTAGGGATTGATTTGCCAATTGCGATAAGTTGAGGGAGCACTCATACCAAAAGGCCATAGTTAGATCCCAACTTTTTTTCGTCTTGTGATTCTACGTCATAGGGGTCCCAGGACTCCCAACAATTTTCATATGTAATAATACAACAGATTACTCCAAATAAATCAGTACTTGGTAAACTCAAGACAATTTGCAGATAGAACAGAACTCATTATGCCTATCTGATCTAAACACCTGATTTTTTTAAGAAGTACAGTTGAATAAATGAAGCACGTAAGCTTCTACTTTTCATTTATATGAAACTAGTCCTTTAATTAATTCGCTTCTTTCTTTTAAAAAATTCTAGTACATTATAATGGAATAATAACCTAGAATATAATTTGTAATAACACCAAAGGACATGACATTTTGAAGAAAACTTGTGTAGTTATAAAAGAGGATGTGTTGTTTGCTTTTGTTAGTTAAATGGGAACGACAATGTTTAGCAAAAAAAAAAAAAAAAAGGTGCGACAGTGATCATAAATAAAAGGTTTCGTTTTGATCAACGGAACAAAGAACACTCAATAAGAAAAATGCTTCGTATTTTGCTTGATGGAGAACAACAGAAGAGGAAATATTTCACGACGTAGCGACGCGCCGTTCAATATGTCGAGGGAAACCACATCAATGAACGACATGTCGTTTCAATTGTTCAAGGAACGACATTGACCATGAAGGATACACCGTAAAAGAAATTGGTTGAATAAGGAAAGCGCAGATACAGACCAGCGGCAGTTTTTTTTTTTTTTTTTTTAATAATTGTGTTTATATCATATTGATGGTTGGAAGGTAGTGTTTTTTTCTTCGTGTTGCGATGTGCCGATGTCAAACAAATTGTTTTCTTCATCCTTTCATTTCTTGACAATATACATGTTAAATCAGGAAACAACAACTAACGTTGAAAAACGACAACCAAAAGTAACCCAAAGAAAGTAGAAAACGACACGAAATGGAATGACAACGAATTGAAAACGACACTTAGAAAAAAAAAAGACAATATTGAAAAACGACAAACTACAGTAAAAATGAAACCAAGGAAAAACCAACACCAAATGGCAAAATAACAACAGAGGTTACAAACGACAAGAAAATAGAAACCGAGAATAGAATGAAACTACAACCAAGTAAAACACCTAAAGCATAAGATATTAAAGTGAAAACGACAATAGAGAAAGTTAAGGATATGAAGTGAAAAATGAAAAACGACAATAAAATAAAACAAAAAGAAAAGCGATATTAAACAACTAAACGACTAAAAAATTACAAGCAACAAAGAAAATATAAATAATTCTTGTCTCATAGAATGAAGCGAACGAACTCAACACTTCGAAGAAACAAAATATATAAACGACAATAAGACGGAAACGACGGAAAACTTGTTCGACATAATCCCAAAGGAGTGTATGGCTAATGGCCCCGTGGGTTATTTATTTATTTTATCAAGTTAAAAATGTGTGAACGTCTTAAAAATGCGTATCCCTTCCCAACGTATATAAACGCCCATTTGAATATTTCTTCGAAATTTCTTCAAAGAGGTCGCGATGGGAAGCTTGAAGCTCCCACACTCACTGAGCAAAAGCCACACCTCCCCTATTCACCCATATCGTACCATCGCACTTCCCAATGGTACTTTCTTTTCATTTTCTCCTCTAGCTTTTTTTTTTTTTTTTTTTTTCCGGCTCAAAGCTTTAAATTTGGAACAATTACTCAGCTTTCATCAATATTTGGTTCTCAAACCAAAAACCCACCAAGAACCAGTTGTCAATTTCTAGCTTTTCTGCTCGCTTTATGATTCTGTAAGAAGTGCTTGTCCTATTGTCTCACTGAATTCTGGTCTTTCTAATGTTTCACTGAAGCTCTCTTTATTCAAGGGATTTTCAAATTGACTACTTGTTCTTGTTCATTTGCTCTAGTTTTATATGTATGGTTTATAAGCTTTAATGAATTTGTTCTATGAAACATGTTTTTTTTTTTTTTTCCCTTTCAGCTTTTTTGGGTTAACTGAACTGTTTTTAAGCTATTATGAGGTGTGCAAATAATTGTTTTATGCCCAATACATGAATGTTTATTAACGAGCCCGAAAACGCATGATAATAATTTTAGAGTTGCAAAATCACAAGTGCTCTAATATCAAATTAGTTTATCCATCCATTCTTCAAACTCAAGCTATTAGGTAGTGAGCCAACGATATTTTTTTAATTCTAACAATTAGGGGGTTGTTCTTTTAGAGTGTAATTTGAGTGTAGTTTTTTAGTTTAATTTGAGTTATAACTTAAGTTGAAGTTGTAACTTAAATAAAGTTAAATAAAATTAAATAAAGTCAGAACTTAAAAGAACGTGAACTTGACTAAAATTAGAACTTGATGTGTCTTTTTTTGAATTTTTTCGACAAAAGAACATGCCCTAGATTTTTGGAATTCTACAGGCTTCATTGCAAGAACAACCATACAGCTATTCACACCCAATATCTTGCCCTTCGGACCTCATGTTCTTAAAGGTGAATGGGGCATGTGGTTTAGCAGAAGAAGTACATCAGGTTGCTGTGGCTAATTGTGTACGATGTCCATCTTGAACAGCTTTGTTTGTTACTTTTGTGCTTTTAAATTTTGTTAGCATAATCAATAATGTACTTGCTGCTTCACTCATCAGCATCTGTACAGCCTGCGACAGAACAACTGAAGCAAGATGAGTCCAAAGATCCCCTTGTAAGTGGCGATTCACTTCGTCATCGTTTTCTTGATTCTTATGCTTCCCGTGGCCACAAGGTTCTTCCAAGTGCTTCTCTTTTACCGGATGTTCCGACCGTTCTGTTGAGAATTGCAGGAATGAAAACCTATATTTCTTGGGAAGGTAACATAAAATCAGTTTTAAATTAGGTTTCTCGACATGTCTTGAGTTGTTTTTTTGTCGAAGTTTGAGGTCGCTCATCATGTTCAGGTCCCTAGACAAGTGCCTCGTGCTACTACTGCACAAAGTGCACACGTACAAACAATGTGGAAAATGTAGGTCGAACTACACGGCATCAAACATTTTTTGAGATGCTTGGAAACTTCAGCATTTGGGATTACTTCAAGTTGTTTACAAAAATAGTTTTTCATAAAAAAGAAATGCCCCCAAAACTTTAGATTTCCGGGTTTATAACTT